AGCCAGAGAGCATAGGGGGATTTAAAAAGGCAGGTGTGCCATGCCCAGGTTTTATATCGTAGGTGAGGGAGAACCACCAGAGTTTTGAGCAGGGCAGTGAGGGATTGGACTTAAGTATTTGTGAGGAAGGGAAGGTCTGTTTGGTACAAACCCCATGTCTCTCTGAGAATCTCAGGCTACCCCAGTGTTCTTTTGGCTTATGTAGTTGATTTTGTTTTCTGTGCAGGTACAAAGTATAGATGTTTGTAGAAGTGTGGGCTTCACAAACTTATAAAGCATCTCCTATGAAGTACCCCACATTTCAGCACTGCTGCATATGGATCATCATTTACCTTTTACCTTGACCAGATGTGGAAAATTTGAAAGTAATAGTCTGAAGGACAGGCCTCAAATTAACTGACAACTTCTGAGATGTTAACCTAAATTGCTATTTGGCTGGCCAGACTTTGGTTTGTGGAGGGACAAAAAAAGTGGAAAAAGTACATACCAGAAGTGGAAGTGAGAATGGAAGCTGAGTGAATAATTTCTTTGCCTTTTTAAAAATAAAGACTGAATGTATAGTAACTTCATTTTTAACCCGTGGTCTGGAACTTTCTAGAGCCATGTGCCAAGTTTTACCAGTATATTGCTACATCAGATTATCAGAACCTCTTCAATACATTTAAATAAAATTCTTATATTTATAGTGAGTCCAGTTTACATAGTCCTCATTTGAAATGAGGAATAAGATTTTTTAAATAAGGTATTATTTGTATAATGCCCGTCATGTGTTTGCAGAATACTCCACTGTGAGCTTTTTTTTTTTTTTTCTTTTAAAACCATAAAAAGCACCATAGGTTGTTACTTACCTTGGGTGGCCTAGAGAGTGTGGGTAGGTGGTCTAGCCTAGTCCAGAACTTCACTGTCCCAGCTCAGGCCTGCTAGTGTTACTCCTGCTCCTTCCAAGCTCCCTTCATAGTGGAAATGAGGCATTTGAAAATTCCCAGAGGGCAATAACGGCATTATCTGAATGGCTTTTCTGTAGATATTTTTTTTTCATGGTTGCTAGAGCAGAGGCTGAGCCTGCACAGAGGGATAGGTGAGGAGGGTTCCAATAGCAGTGTCTCCACTTGCTTCCTGCCCATCCTGCTTGGGAACCACAGGACAGAGGGATGGTGGGAGAGTCTCAGCAATTGACTGAACCCATCTTCCTTAGGAAGGAGTTTATAGATCATTTTATTATCCAAGCCTCTAGTTTTCCTGCCTGTTTCATAGATGTGTATGGGCAAGGCCATTTCTACTAGGCACTGTTAACACTTGTCTGCTTATCTTTTCTACTGCTCTTTAAGGGTAGGTTAGGGCTTGTGGCCTTTCATTTGTGACTTGGGAGAAGTATTACCAGGTAGTTGGGTGGCTTCTGTCTGTTCTACAAAGTTAGCTTGAGAGGTTAAGATAGGTATGCTAACTTCTGAAGAAGGGTCCCTTAATTTCTTTATCTACTTTTTGTAGTAGTTGTATAGGACTTTTATCCTTTTACTTGTCTGGATTTATGCAAAAACAATAGTCTCTTGTAGGCAAATACTGCCCCCGTTTTTAAAGATTTATTTATTTAGAGAGTGAGAGCATGAGTGGTGGGATGGGGTAGGGGGGAGATGCAGAGGGAGAAGCAGACTTTCCACTGAGTGGGGAGCCCATGTGGGGCTCAATCCCAGGACCCCCAGATCATGACCTGAGCCAAAGGCCAATGCTTAACTGACAGAGCCACGCAGGCACCCCAGGCAAATACTCCCTTTGACCGATGAAATGCAGCTCAGGTTAAGGGACTTGCTCAAAACACAGTGCAGCTAACAGCACCACTAGGATCAGAAATGTAAGGTCACGCTGGCTAATGCTGGTGGCTTATATTATTTTCTTTCCATCTCATATTATTGATATTCAGGTGTTTTCCTTAGAAATAGGTTACAGATACCACTACAAACAAATGGAATATTGGGCACCTTAATTTGGGTCTTTTACTGTCTTGAGACTTTCTGGATCAGATCTCTGTTAGGTGTGAAAAAGTGGAGCTGTTCTTGGTGGTGGAAACACTGCTCTTTTGGGCTGAGTGCTGGAGAAAGCCACACCTCCAGCTTGTGAGGAACTCCGGTGTCTGGGGGTCCTTTTCAGCAGATGGGCAAGTTCACATAGATTTAAGTATTTTGATGGTAACTGGAGAGTAAAAGAATTATTATAGTAACTCTCCTGATCTCTGTTCTATAGGACACGACCCATGCAGGAATGTTTTTCTGGTAGGTTCTTGCGAGTCTTAGATGCAAGTTTAAAAGTTAAAGTGCATTTGTTACTAAGTTTGTGCAGACTCTTTACAAAAGCACGTGTGGTCCATTTCCTTTTACTCCCACCTCTGCCAGATTTTCCTGTCTTCATCCTTAGCATCATTTCTGAGCTACAAGCATGACATCTGACTGGTGGGGGTTTTTCTTTGGGAAGTTTCTTGACCTATTATTTATAGTTAAGCAGGGAAAGAGGGCTGTGTTTTGAAAATGGTATGGGTAGTCTGCTACGTGTGTGCCCCCCACCCCAAGTGAGAAGTGCTCCTTTGAATGCTGCATCAAGACCTCGAGCCGTAAGTCCTGGATTTATGTCCTGCTCTCACTCTCCTGGTCTAGCTTTCTCGTTTGTAAAATGGGGGGGGGTGGGGGGTACTGACTGCACAATTACTGTGGAACGTGTTATTTAACATCTGGAGGTAGAAAGTATTTGGTGTTGGCCTGCAACTTTCAGCAAGAGATGAAGAATATTGTTTTTCAGTCTTTTCTATATTAAAGTGGTATTTTAGAAATCTAGTTGGGGAGGAATTGAAAAGCTACTTTTACTCTGAAGAAAGTAGTCACTCTGTCTACTTCGTTGGTTTAATTTTGTTGGATATTTAAACTATTATAGGGGCGCCTGGGTGGCTCAGTCGTTAAGCGTCTGCCTTCGGCAGTCATGATCCCAGGGTCCTGAGATCGAGCCCCGCGTTGGGCTCCCGGCTCTGCGGGAAGCCTGCTTCTCCCTCTCCACTTCCCCTGCTTGTGTTCCCTCTCTCGCTGTGTCTCTCTCTCTGTCAAATAAATAAATAAAAATCTTAAAAAAACAACTGTTGTAGTTACCTTGTGCTATAGAGAAGTAGGTTGTGAAAAAAAATCAATAAATCATGCTAATGTGCTCTACTTTTTGGTCATTAGTATAAGGTTACCTCCTCCCACAGGAATGAGAAGTGTAATCCTTCCTGCATAGGTTCTGGGGTTGCTAATGAGTCTTGAAGTGACCCTCACTGACCCTCAGGTGAGCAGTGGGAAAAGCAAGGGAAAGCAGAGCGCCTGCGTGGTCCTGGAAACCGATCATTCAGAATATGCTTTCATTTCCACAAACTTTGTTAAATGCCTATTTAGAAATTTGACTATTCCCACTTGTTCCACCCAAACGACCCTGTTCATATTCCTAGAAAGATTTCTGGAATCACTGAGAGTGGCTCTGACCTCCTAGAATTAAGCACAGCAGCCTTTTGCACAGACCAGCCAGGCTCATGAGCTCCCTGATCCAGCTGAGCCCCAGCTAGCCAGGCTGATTTTTGGAAATACCTTGGGATGAGTTTTATGGGCTTTGTTTTACTTTTATATTTTTGTATTTGTTGGTGATTTATATTCATATATACTTTACTTTCAAGCTTCCTGTGAATTTCTTACTCATTTGGAAACCAACATTGGTGGGTGACAAGGAGGAGAGCTAATTTCTAGGAATCCCGAATATGCCCCCAGAGTTTGAGGATTACCTATTTAAAGTCCCTCTACATAAGGGACTGCCAAAACAATGTTCATCAGAATCCCTGGGGTGGGGTGGTTGATAAAATGCATATTTCTCGATCCCAATCAAAACTTACTGCATCTGAGTGAGAACAAAGGTGGTATTCTAACCAGCCACTACAGGTGATTATTAATAGGTGGTGGTCTGACACAAGAACCTTGTTTGGTGGACCTTAATGATTTGAACTTGGATGGGTCTGTGGTGCTTGTTTCAAAACAAATCTATATGTAAATAAGATTTTCATTCGTGGGTTCTATCATAAACTATCTGGAATACTTGTGGTTAACAGGCGTATTTTTATTGAATATAATGCTGGACTTACCTAAGTAATACATTCTCTCTCTCTCTCTCTCTCTCTCTCTCTCTCACACACACACACACACACACACACAGACACACAGACACAGAATACTCATTTTCAGAGCATTTCGGTGTCATTAAATACTTTTAGCATTACAAGTATATAAACGTCATTTAATATTTGATTCTGAGAGTAGGGAATTTGCAGCATGGTTCTTCTGGGGCCCATTCATTTAAAATGTAGATTTCATATTAGTATAGAGATTGGGAGTTGAATTATATGATTCAAGATGGTTGCGAATCCTTAGAATATGGAAGTTGCTTTTAAAATGCAATAAAAATTTATTTCCTATTTATAGGCTCCCAACCACACCCCTCTTCTCCCCCTCCCCAGTATCTGGATGTTTGAACTTTTCTAGTCATGGTTTGAATAAATGGGAATTTGCTCTATTATCATAAAAACTCCCCCACATAGCATGTTATAAATATTTAAAGAAAAAAAAGCTATTTACTCTCTGTCACCTTAATGTAGAAACCTTTTGACCTATAAATTGAATTTTTTCCCAAAGCTATGTGAAAGCAGTGCATACTGTCACCAGAAGGCTTAGAATGTCTCTGTTCTCAGATTTGCAAAAATGGGTTAATAAGTAATTGTCACCAACTTACAGGATTTTCCATAGTGTTCTTCATTAACCAGTGTCTTGGGGGAATTGTGAAATATTCATTGTCTGCATACTGCTCTGGTGTACAAAGTCAAATGAACTGTGAAGGTGAGGGCTAAAAACACCCCTCTCACCTTTGTACTTTGTCCTTTGAGTATTAAAGAACATTGATCTACCAAGTGGCAAAGGGGGTACAATTTGGCGGTTTAATTACAGCCAGTGAATGTTATTGATGCTATCAATCAGCGAGACCCAGGGAAAGGGCACAGTGCCAGACCATTCAGTGCTCCCGACAGTGTAATTAAATACCGAAGGACTGGATTCTCAAGGTAAAGTGAGGGGCTTCCGCACATCTGAAGCAGGAGAGCATTTTGTCTTGCAACCCAGGTGAAGGTGGTTAGCCTCTCCTATTGCTTCTCTCTAAATTTTTGGAGGAGTCTATGAATGGCAGTGATATGGTCTGTTCCTTGTGTACATTTAAGGTTATTGGTGTTTTCCTTAAAAACCCTCTTTTTGTAAGATCTTCACACTGTCACACAAAAGGCTTTAGGAATACAGTAATTACTTTTTGTTAAAGCTGTTTGGGGGGATATACAGCTCAGGTGTCTAATAGATAATTTGGAGAATGAGGGCTTGTCTTTGAACGAGACTATTAGTCCTGCAAATCAGTTCATTTAAAAAAGCTTTCCCTGTGATTATTCTCTAATGTCTAATCATGTTGAGAGAAAAATATCTTGGTAGGTTGAAGTTATAAAACATTCAGTAATATTTCAGGGGTTATTCCTTTTAAATTATCTATTGAATAACTTACATCAGGTCCATAAAATATATTTGGTAAAACTTATTTTGGCTCGGGAGGATTTATAATAACATTCTTATTATCCTTTTTTCCCTTTTCTCATATGTATGTGTTTCACACACAAATTTTCATCTAGGTCTATGTGAGAGATAAATGCCAATAGCAATCCAAAATGTTTGTTACTCCTTTTTTTTTTTTTTTTTTAATGGTGTATAGTTCATACTCATTAAGGTTTACCAAAGACAGGCTCTCCTTGAAAGAAAGTGAGGTGGTGTCCTAACGTTTTGTGCATATGCGTGTGTACATACATGCATATACACACTAGATTCCTGACAGTTGGGTTAAAACAGGCTCGAAAACACTTCTTGGCTGTTGTGGTTTAGTTGTAATATAGGTGTGGGTTGCAAACTGTTTTTACATTTACAACAGGTGTTTGAAGGAATACTGTTAGAAATTTTCCTTTAGGTGTTTGAGGAATAATTTTTTAAGAACATTAAAGGTTTAGTAAAAATGAGTACTTCATCTTCAAGAGTCTCATCCCTTTAGGGGCTTTTACATTATATGGAATCATTGCAAGGTCAATGGTTTGTTTCCAAGTTTGTATGGAAGGGCATATGCCTTAAAAGTTATTAATGGCCATCGTACATGTGCTTTTTTTCCTTCTCCCCCCCACCAAGGGCAAAGATATCAAATGCAATACTAAAAAAATAATTGCAAATTGTTTTTTAAAGACTATACAATCTTGGATAGGGAATCTTAGGGAACATCTGTGGGTAATGAAGTACTTAATTCTGCAAGCGTTTTGAGTGTCTAGTATGTACCAGTCAGCTTTGCTCTAAATGTTGGAGCCGTGCTAAAATATGACAAGATATCGTCTTGTCCTTGATGTCATTGTGTAGTAGGGAGAGACAGCACTTACTTTATATGACTGTTTTTTTTTTTTTTTTCTGATGTATGATAAGGGAATGCAGAGCACAATGGGAATGGATATGTCACTGGCTGTCAAGAGAGGCCTCTGCAGTGGTTTCAGAGGTGATAGGGTTTTACAAAATAGGGTTTATCACGCAGAGCGAGAAGACAGGTATTATATATAAAGGAATGTCATATCCAAAGGCACAGAGGCCTTTATGTGACATGTACTTTTTGGAAGAAACTTACATCTGGAAACTATAAAGTGTGCTGATTCTGTCGAGTATTAACCTTCTCTGAAAGTAGTTGGGAGGAAAATTTGATTATACCTAGCCCCATAGTTTTACATTTATCCTTTTTTTAAGTGAAGACCTAAATCATAGAAGGAACTATAGAGATGAATTTTGGGCAGATTAATTCATTTGTTCATAGATGCCTCTCTGCCTTGTTCTGCAAAGATCCATGGTAACCTGTGAGACTCATTTAAGTGGTACCAAGATGAAATTTCTCTGTGGAGTATTTAGTGTACACACAGAAATAGGATCATTATATTTTCATTACTGTATGTATAAGTAGGTCAAAGAAGACTTGGATATCTGAACCAACATTGCGGCGAAGCAGTTTTTCTTCTAGTTATAGAACAAAAGAGAACTTATTGTAGATGGTATTTAAATTAGCTTTTTAAATGGCCACACTGATTTTGACTATTCTGCTCACCTAGCTTATGATGGGAAAATTACCACCATATTATATATGTATCTGACCCACATATTGTATATGTGTATACATTTCTGTACATTGTCACTCCCCTGCTCATAGAAGCTTCACTGTGACATTTAAGGGCTCCAGAATCTGCCCCAACTTGCAGTTACAGTGTTGTCTTTGTTCTGCAGAGATTCTTATCCTGCTCACCTGGGCTCCTCATCCTTGAAGATGCAAGTCAAAGTCTTATCTGCTGCCTTGGGTCATTCTCTGCCTATACTGCCCTGTACCAGTCATTACTTACTGACTTTATTTGGCTGTAAAAGCATTCTTTTTTTTTTTTTTTTTTTTAACTGTATGTTACCTTTTTCTTCCCTTTGGTGGTCTACTCTCAGAGGGCAGGCATCTTTGTCTTCAGAGCAATTCACAAAATACTTAAGCTTTTATTTAAAATTTCTGAAGGAGGAAATTTCTATATATTGCTTACAAGGAATGGTGGAGATGTGCTCTGTATGCTCAAAGATAGGGAAATTCACAATTGAAGCGAAACCAAAAGTGAAACTCTGACACTTCCTGATAGGTGTTACTATTTATTGAAGACACAGTCCAATGAAGGATATATAAAGGACTTACCTGCTTTTTCTTTTGTACAGTTAATGAAGATTGAACTGTTGTTTTCCTTTTATGTGTGATTTTCTACATAGTGTCTATCAGCCTGTGTCTTTTTGTCCTTTGTCACTTTCATGTGTTTTTTTCCTCTCTCAAACCTTCGATAGGTTATGTTCAAGCCCTAGGATATGTAACCCACCAAAATTGGCTTGTTGAGAACCTTCTTCTTTTTCCACACATTACCAACCAGTGCTTGTTTACTTCTATCGTTAAACCTCTCCAGTTTACTTCTACCAAGTACCGTGGAGACCTTCTTTCGGTTTCACTTTCTAACTCAGCATTTTAATCTGTTGGCAGTGCTTTAGATCTACTAGATAGTCCAGAGCTACATAAATTATATTTTGAGTTTATTTTTGGAGGTAAAATTGTAATCTGTACCTTTGGTAGTATGGCTTTTGTTAGAGATTGCATCTGATCAAACTTCAGAATCTTGAAAGAACCCTTAAGCTACTACTGGAGAATGGTTTTCTAAGAATTGAATGAGTACATCCATTTTTCTGCAAGCCAGTTTAACTTGTGTTGTTTCCAGTGAAGCACAGAAAGCCAGATTGTTTGGACAAGCAGCACACCTTCTAATCATCTTGCCAGAGAGGTACTTCAGAAAGAGCCCCTGCAGGAGGCCATGGAATATTCAGTCAGCAGGAATTGGATGGCCTCCTTGGTGGGTGGGGCTGTAAGATAGGCACAGGGATAAGAATTAGTTTCAACCCTCTAGGAATTTACAGCCTAGTACTATAAAAGCTTTGTAAGTGAATTGCAGTACTCTTACCTGGGAGGTGGCGCTGAGGCAGTCTGCTGCTCTGGCAGTGTGGAGGAAGCCCCAGACACATCTGAGTATTGAGGACTAAGTACTGAGATTTCCCTTTTTCTTTAAGTTTCTCTGACGTCCTCCTAGTATATTTAGTGATAGTGTCCAAAATGAAAAATTCACAGTACACCCTGCTAGCGTAGCCACCTTACTGTTTTTTTCTACTGTGAAATCACGTTGAGTCATTAGGCACTGGAATCCCATATTCAGAAGCATACCTGCAACCCTAATCTGAAATTAGGCACTGTTCCCCGAAGTCCACTTAATTATTTCTGCCACTGTCTCTCCGAAACGGAGAGGGTTCTCTGTTTCCCCTCTGTTTCTCATTTTGCATCCAACTTTAGGCTCTAACAGATCTTTATGAGAGAGAATAAGGAGGCGGGAGGATTATTTAATATGCAGTAGTTTGATTAGAGAAATAAAATTAAGTCGGTCTTTTCTATCAGCCCATTTAAAGATGCGGGATGTTGGCCCTATATATGACAGTAAGACACCCTTTTCTTCATGCTTCAGCCAGGCTTTGGGCTTTCCAACACACTCCCCTGCCATTGTCTTAAAAAATATTTGGAATATTGTATTGTACTATTGTAATAATTATAAGGGTTAATTTTGAAAATAATTGCCATGGATTTGGGAGAAGTCTTATTACTCTTTGAGCTTTTTTTTTTTCCTGTTAAAGTGCATACATCTTTCTTGTGCCAAATGGCTGCCCATGTGTCTTATCTGTGTCCTCTCAGAGATAATAGTTACATTTGAGTTTCTTCTTACATAAATTACGAATGCTAATGATAATACCCCTTCATACCCTGCTACTAGGATCAATTCACCTAATATATGTAACATACCAAGGGGCGCCTGAGTGGCTCAGTTGGTTAAGTGTCTTATCTTTATTTCGGCTCAGGTCATGATTTTGGGGTCCTGAGATCGAGCCCTGCGTCAGGACTCCACACTCTGTGGGGAGTCTGCTTAGGATCCCTCTCTCCTTCTGCCACACCTCCCCACCGCCCCTTACCGTGTGCGTGCGCGCACGCGCTTTCTCTCTCTCTCTCAAATAAATCTTTAAAATATACATATATATATTATATAAAACATACCAAGAACAGTGCCTGGCACATGGTAAGCATTTAATAAATGTGTGGGGCTATCATTATGTTGTTACGATTTTATATATACATGAAATTCTTACGGTATGATGAAACATTATTATGGTTCTCCAGCTCTGTGTTAATGGTTTTATTTTTCCTTTTAATCCTTGTGAGGTAAGGACTATCATTAACATCAGATTGCAAATGAAGAAATAGAGGCTTCAGAGAATGTACGGAGATTATACACGGTAGTTATATACCTGGTAAGGTAACAGAGCCAGCACCTGAACTTAGCTCTGTGGGATTCCATGCCCTGTGTTCGTAATACTGCATCTTTGGAGGGCTCTGGTACAAGCA